CTGCTCGGCTGGCAATCACTTTCCAAAGGAGTATATATGTATATACGTATATATTTTTTCCCTGGTGGGGTGGGGCTCTCCCCCCTCAGCTCTACCTAGGAGATCTTAAAAATTAACCTGCCCAACTAAGCACATCTTACACAAGATCTGAGCTCTCAAAAACCAGAGTAAGATTCTGGTGCTTGGAGCTTTCAATAAAACAATAGCTTCTGTTTAGACAAAAAACATCTAGCCAGCCAAAGAGCGAATTCCCCTCAGCTACTGTGAGGAAGGGCAGGATAAACACCAAACCAATTTAAAAAATATATATTGGGGGTGTGTGTCAGAGGACCCCATCTCTGCAGCCCAACCTGGCTGAGCCTCAATGCTCCATCTATTACAAGAGCCCCCTCTTATCCAGCTGGCCAGGATTACCAGTCCCATCATCCCCATGTTCTTCCCTTTCACACAGTGGACAAGCCTTTCCAGAGAGAGGCTTGGTCCTCCTGCCAGCCCAGGTAACTGCTGCCCCTCCCTGCCAGCTCAACCCCCTTTGCATCCCTCTGTGAAAAGGTGGAGGATCGATAGTACAAGAGTAAGGAGACGGATCGATACAGTCAGAAGGAGAAATGGCTAGATGAGCCATATGCAGGAAGAGGCAGAGTGTCCTTGGAGGAGGTATCAAGCTACCACATGGCAGCCTGCATGAATGGGGGTGAAGAAACTGAGAACTATGAAATACTGAAATATGGAATGCAGTTATTGGATGCTCCTGGACTCCCAGGAGCATCTGGGAAGCTGGCTGAACCGGCAGAAGTCAGCAGGTAAAAGGATCATTCACACCTTCGTCTTATCTCCTGTTCCAGAGCACTTCACAGAACAGTCTGGGTGAGGAACAACCACTTATTTTTTCCCCCAGAGGGCCTTTTTTCAAAGACATCCCCAGAGGATTCTAACATCTCAAGTGTAACCCTTGACTTGAAAGTGAGAACACTTCCTACATGACAGTGATGCAGGAGAAAGGAGATCCCCATCGACCCCCTTCTCTTCAAAAAATAAATACCCCATGGCTTCCACCTATCTAGGCTGCAACCCAGAATCCTGAGTTTTCACTTGCAGACTGTAAAGGCTTTGTTCATTCAGACATCAGGTTTTTTTTTCAAGGAGAGGGATGATGGCAACTCCCAGAGACCCCAGCCAGATAAATACTCAGTAAAGTGGCACAGAAACCTGCCAGTGCTTACTGCCAATCACTAAACCGCAACAGAAGTACTACAAGTCTTCCATCACTTTGCGAGCAGCAGCCTTTTCATGCCCCCACCCCCCAAAATAATAAAGCTGCAGATCAAAGAACATTAATTCACACACCCACACACCCTTTTTTGCCTTGCAGCACAAGCTCCAGTGGTGTCAAAGATGGGAATTCAGATGGCACATCCTTCCCTTGATCAGACTTATCCCACTACCCTGCCACCCCCACCCCCCAGTCCCGGGCGATGGCACTCCATTGCTCCCAGACAGCCAGACGTGCTCATGCTGAGATTTCAAGATCTAGCTTCAAAAGGTGCTGGAGAAGTTCAGGGTAGCAATGGATGGGCCCGAAGGAGGGCTCAAAGTGGGAGGGGTGCATGCAAATGATTGCTGCATATTCATGACATTTAAATTACAGAGCAAATGTCGAATTCCAGGCCTAAGTGCTCCCCAGGCAGCCCTGCGCTCCTAGAAGTCGAAACAATGGAGCTCAAAACGCTAGAGGCTGCAAGTGCAGAAAAATCCAGCCGGCCCACTCTTTGAAGTGTCAAGCAGTTGTTCCCCGCTCTCCCCCCCCCCAAATTCCCCAAGAGGAAATGGCTGGAGGGCTACCAACAGAACAGAGACCAGTTCCTTGTTCATCTCCCTTGCCCCCAGGGGCCAGTCTTCCTCTCTGTACTGTGCCCAGATGCACCATCTGCTTTCACATGTGGTTGGTCACCCAGGGCGAAGCTGCTGCACCCGTCTACCAAGCGAGACTCCCAACCTCGTCCAGGCTGGCTGCTTTGTGAGCATCGTCCCAGCATATCCTGGGCCAGGAGGACGCCGAGCATTTCTTCCTACAGAGGAACACTGCTGTTCAAAAACGCCTCCCCTTTTGTCTTGGCAGAGTGTTGCTTTTTTCTAGGAACTGGCAAAAGGGAAACAGGAAAGGGTTCAAAGGATTGGTCAGGAACCCTTCACCAGGTAAGGAGCTCAGCCAGAAGGGTCTGGGCTTCCCCTGCAGCCACTGGGCTGAAACGGGCAGGATCCAGCTGCTGCTTAAAAGGAGGGCTTAGCACGAAAGGAGCCAGAAAAAGCTCAGGAGAGCAGGGAGTGAGGAGGAAGGCCAAACACAAAACAGACTGACTCACTAAAAGAAACCATCGGTTTTCCACTTCAAGACCTGTGCAGGAGACTCCAAATGAGATGATCTTTTGTTTACAAACAAGCCAGAACAGACGTGAGCGAAACACCACGGGAGGAGGAGGCTGCCCTCTCCTGGTCTCATCACACCAATCACCCCCAAACTTGTCTAGCTTATTTTTCTTTTTTGGGGGATGGGGGAAGAATAGTTCTCCCCAACCATGGATCTGATCTTTCCATGGAACTTTCTGATCCCCAGGGAGAAAGAGTCCCGCCGCCTGCCACCCGCCAACGTCTCCCCCCCCCCTTCCTCCTTCTCAACGTGGCTGCAGTCCTCATGACCGCAAAGGGGGCAAATCGGGTTTGGCCCGGCAGCAGCCTAAGAGTGAGGCGCTCTCTCCGTCGCAACGCAAAGGATCCTGGAGCGGCCTGGCCTGGAAGAGGCCACTGAGCCCCCGCGAGCTTCGTAAAAGCCCTCCTCCTGGTACCCAGAGGAAACCTGCTCAAATCTCTCCGGCCTGTTTCAAAACAGACCCCTCAGGCCACGGCCCTGCCCCATGGAAGAGGGACCAAGACTACAGCCACTCGCCCTTTCCCTTCCAGCGAGGAGCTGGGCCCAGCCGACCAGCTCAGGCGGATCGCACCACCCCACTCCCAGGGCCACCGAGAGGAGGCCATGGGAGGTAGAAGCTTCACCCCATTTCCGAAAGGCACGTGCCAGCCCTCTGCTTCTTCTATCCCCCTCGCAAAAGTTATTCAAGGAACGCGCAAGAAGGTCCACACCAGGCCTCGCAGACACACTCTGGTGCAAAGCAGGATCGGCTTCGATAAGGAAAACCAAGGGGGTGTGCAGCAGAAGGTGTCAGATGAGATTGGGGAGGGGAGGGGAGGGGGAAGCACCACATTTCACACAAGGAAGTCCAGTAGTCAAGACGATGGGCCACAGGTACACACTTTAATAAGGCTCTGAAAACTAAGTCTGAGAACATCTTGCAAGTGCAGACAGAAAAGGCAACGAGAAGACATGGCCGGCACCCACGTTTGTCTCTTCAGTGGCCACCTATGCCCCAAGCCGGTCGGACAGAACGTGGGTGTCCTCTCTCTGCCCCCCCTTGCATATATACA